TAGAGCGGGGCGATGGCCAGGAGGTCGGGTGGAGGTGATGGGTGGGGGAGGGGGAGGTAAATAAGTCAGATGAAGCAACCATCCTTCTATCTTTCGCTATTTCGCACATCTTTCGTAGACTTTTCGCCGAAGTCGTCGAAAAACTTGGCAAAAACTACCCTCTTTCCCACAACCATGACCCCATCGACTTCAAAATTCCGACCTCGTTCGCACTTTTCCTTAAGCTTGCCCATCCTCAAAACAACCGCACTCTTGAAAGCACAGATACGACTCCCTCGTCCGAATAGTGCGAACGAACGGTTGTCTCTGTCTCTGCTTATGCATGCTCCCTCTCGAACAGCCTTCCGAACTGCGCCGTAATGGAGAGCTCGAACTCTCTACCCTGTCCTCGAGGCAAATCCTTCTGATGCGGCCAGTAGAAGGCTGCTATAAAGCTGTTGAATATTTGATTTCTGATGTTATCTCTAGTTATCAATTGTATGAATCCAGTTTGAGTTGCGTGTAGTGTGAATTATTTAGTTTTAGTGCATAGAGAACATTTCTTTGTGATACCTCCCCCTACCTTCCCTGTATGGGTCAATCTAACATTTGTTGTGCGCATTCGTCTTCGGTTGATCAAATCAGTGCCTTTGCTGTCAACATTTCACTTGTTCCACCTTCGAGTGCGAGCGTGTTTTGCAAGTAAAATTGAGCTAATGGTATTACATAATAAGTTACACAAAAACGTGTTTATCTTGCGTTTTGTCGCCTCATGCGACCTCTCCCCTTTCCCTCTTTTCCGAGCCCACTCGAATCAGTACGGCTTTCGACAGTCGAGCAAAGTGCCACATCGACTTCCTCATGTCTTTGCCATTTTAGGGCCTATCTCGTTCGTTCCAAAGGTTCTCAATTGAAATGCTGCCCAGCTCGAGGAACATATTGTCTTACGGTACAACTATGAACTGAGCCTCGCTTTGATTTCACCCAGACCTTACTTAGTACGTTGCATGGTGTTATGATGCACAGTAAGTCCTACCACCTAGAAAGTTTATTTTGAGAAAGGGAGCACGTCGCGGGAGCCCTATCGTACTGATGGAGTAACTATTAGTTGTTCGGAAAGTAGTGCGGGTTTTTGACCTCCATTTTCAAAGAGGCATATTTTCACTCAAATTAAACATTTTTTGTCGTAACAAAAAGTATTGGAAAGCACTAATCTTTCTTAACAAGATGCGTACTAAATGTCCTTCCCACATTAAAATCAGCGCTTCTGGAGGCGATGATATCGTCGAGCATCATTTTCACATCAGTTTGAACATTGAAGCATTTCTTACTCAAGAAGTTGTCGAGATGGTTGGAAAAGGGGTATTGGTGAGGGAGAGGTCCAGTGAGTACGACATGTGGATCGAAGCTTCGTACGCCAGTTTGTTCAATACTTGCGAGGTCGTTTATGGGACGTGTGGCTGAGCGCCACCATGAAGGAGGCTTTGTTTACTTCTCTCGGTTGACGAACTTGATGTTTCTAGAGCATCTCATCGGTATGCTGGAGAGACATTGGTGTTGTGTTAAATTCACCTGGTTTCCAAGAGCTGGGTTGCATCAGCCCGTGGAAGACCGCCGAATGTTGAGCTCAACTTTAATCTTCTATAATTTCGGCTTTGGAGAAGTTTTTGAAGATTCATCGCGGTCAAACTATTAGAGAGATGGCTTTCTGTAATCGTAAGAGTCCATTTTCCATCGTAGATGACAATGCATACCGAATACTAGTAGTTTTTGTTACGTAAAACGGGTGGAAACGACCCTTGGGAAACGGTATTGCTGCTGCTTCAGTCAGCCCATGCGGAAGCCACCTGTTCAGCTTTTTCACCTCTTCAATTATCTTCAGGAGCCACAATATTTTCAATATACCTACTTCTGGTCCTACTGCTTGCTATAGCACAGTTAGACTGGAATCATCTTCTACGGGAATCTTCAGAAGGCCGTCGTCAACAGCAAAAGCATGCTCATGACTCCCCTCAACTTCACTATGGAATTCTTCTAAACCGAAACTTTGGAGCCAAGGTGTGCTGCGCTTCTGGAGGTGCTTCTTCGGACTCGGCTGTTCACTTCGACAGGTCTAAGGAGCACTACGTCAGAGTTTCAGCACATCGAAGAAAACTTGCCCAAACCACTGTATTGACACCTTCAGTTCAACTCTAAAAAACCCCAATATAACAAGTAAAACTGAAATTCAAATATACTGGAGGAAAGAAGATAGAATATGCTTGCCAATGATATATAGGGCTTCAGGTCTCAAAGGAAGTTTCAGTATAAAAATATTCCAAGTATGCAAGGCATCTCGAAACCCGCATTACTTTCCGAACAACCTAACATATCTCCACGATGTCGTGATACTAGAGTTGTCGCTACAAACTGTCTGAGCATGACGTCAGGAGTGTGTCTTGTGAAGCTTGGTTGTTATTTCCTACTCATTGTAATGTATCCAATACCTTTGCAGAAATTCGATTCGTAGCATGTCTTGGGCTTGGAGGGTTGAATAGCAGTCTCAATTATCACAAGAATGCTTAGTTATGAACAAAACTCTTTGACCACTCGGGGTTCGAACCACTGCCTTGCCTACGACTGACCTCGATGTGGAGAACATTTTCGAGTCCTACCTAAAGAGTTTGAGAGAGAAGGGTTTTGACCATACTTCGGCATTCTTTGCGACAACTTTCCCATGTCGAACTGCGGCCACAGACAGCAATTAACAATCACAAAAAGCAGTCCTAGTGGTCGAAAACTTCAGCGGCCAGCCGTTTCTGAGCAGTTTTAGTAAATTCGCTACTGGCTACTTTGTTGCAGCGTTACTCCTCTATAAACGGCGGAGAGAAGTTTTTAAAATTTTCCTTGACCTCCTACCAACTCTGCGATCAAAAAGATAATGGTCCGTGGCACTGAAACTCATCGAACACTGGCATCGAAATCGATCATTGTGCGTCCAACATACGTCCAACACTACGCGAAACTACTGCAATCATCGCAAAAAGGGCGGCCTTTGCCAACCGCCGATAATTTTCGATCGTCTGCCACCTTTCCGTTCAGATCAGTGTTTGAAGCGATTGTTATACATAATCCGCGCGAAATAGCGCTCTCGGTTCTATGCTAGTCAGCTGGGCATGCCAATTTTTGATATTACTCCCCCGTAATAACATGCTTACCCGCTCAAAATTCTCTTTTCCAATGCTTAGGCTTTGAGTAAGTAAGAACTCCTCTCAGTATTTTCCACCGGACTCATATGGCACATAGCTCCCGATAATATTTCTGTTCTTCCGTAGGCACCATCAGAAGATTTCGTAGTGCTATGTGAAGCGGATGGGTTAGCCGATGTCCGAGTTGGACAAACTTCGGGAAGACTGAGTTTTGTGACCCATGCCAACTTCTGCCTTTTTAGCTCGGCTTCGGGGTATGATAAACTCTGAATTGTGTAAGAAATCATTTTCCCCGAAGTTACATTTACTGGAAAATTGGCGGACCCACCCACTTCATATGGCACCAATTTCACGTAGAATCCGAGAGCCTCTTGTCACCTTTGCTAATCTATCTTCCTTGCTGAATGCACAGAACAATTTTGATCCTGAGACATAATGTTCCCTGCTGTGCATCATTGAACGCATTTCTGTTAAAGACTTGTTCCCAGCAATTCTTCATAGCTCTTACCATAAGTATTAAAATACGGCTCGCTTACATAAGGTCATAAGAAGGGATTAGGTGCTCGTTGATCAATCTTTTGTGGAGTGCGCCACACATCCCACATCCATGACGAATCGCAGTAGGATTTGGAATGCGATTCGGTCCCGAGAATGTTTGGAGGGACCAGCTTTAGAAGTCGGTATTTCTTTATTTCTGGCACCTACTAAGCTACTACTAAGCCTATCTTCACTATAACGACTTGCGAGGCATCTTCGTGATACGACCTACAGTCAAAACTTGAAAAAGTTTCGTTTTGGTGCTGTTGACTGGTCCTTTTTCCACTGTCCCAGTGCTTACGGCATCAAAGTAACCAGCGCTTCAAGCCGCAGTGACCAGCACTTCCGATGTATTACACATCTGCTTCCCTGCAACATTTATTGCTAACACGTTGCTGCTCCATTAGCTACTGTGAGCAAATCGCAGATTTCTGCCACTTCAATTGTTCTTAAACTGCGAAAAGATGCTTCAGATGGCCATCATCTGCTATGAGAAAACGTGAAGGTCTGTGAACAGAAGAGACTTGCAAACGTCTTCTGTTCGATGTGCATCGATTGAGCGTTCAAATGTGCTCCCAATTTTAATTCGATGCGTTACCAGAAAATCTGGTAGGTTTCTAATGCGTGGCGCATTCCAAAAAGATTTACCAATGTGTTTTAGAACGTGTCTATGTTCTATGTATTTTGCACAACACCGTGTTTTCTGAAAGCTGATCTCTGTTACTCGAAGCGAAACTTCAAAGGTAGAATTTCCGAGGAGAAGTTGCTCATTGGAAATAAGGGTAGAGGTGGTCAGTGGAGCAGGGATGAAGAAGAAACCATTTGAAACGGCCCGAAACCCGAGAAATGGGACCCCTTCCTTGCCCGTTGATTTGCGCATTGATGCGACTCTCATCGCTGTGCCCTCTTCAACACTACGCTCTCTCTGCTATCTCATCGTATAGACCTGCGGCGAGTGATTAGATAGTCGGTGGGCGTACCCCGCCAACCGCGCCAAGAGTGAGCCATGCTAGATCGCCGAGGTCAAATCTTTCGCTGCCAATTGCGCGTCGGTCAGCACCCTCAGGAGGTCCGCCTGTCTCCCAACTATGCAATTTTCCCCTTCTCGACTTCGCTCTTATCGTGGATCTGAGTGTTCGTACGGAATGCAGCAGATCTTCTTACATAGAGTCATCGCAAAATGTAGTTCGAGCTTGTTTTCGGGAATGAAATCTCGGGCTTTGTAAGGATTTGCGTGATTCTCGTTGCTACAAAAATTAGCAAAGCATATGAACGGAATTTGAGCAGTATTTCAGAATGGTTCAATACAAGCTCACTTATTTCGCAGGACGTGGACTTGGTGAAGTAATCCGCCAGGTGAGTAATCCTCAAATAACTTCTCTCAATTCTTTTTCATGGAGATTTGTTCCATTTGCGCTGAGTGGTCATTCACTCCGGGCGGATGTGGTATTTCGGCAAATGGCACCTCTTACCGTGCACACGGCTCGGACTGAATTCCTTCCTGAGCCATCCAGGGCACTCAAGCCCTCCACCAGTCGCGCTCGGGAGTGTCGCGGTTCGCGACGACGGTCGTGGGCGCACCGCGCGCCCGGCCCCCTGTCGCGCCGTTGGTCGCTTGGCGGCGCACGCACCGGCGAGAGGCGCGTGCTCCGCCTCCGGCCACGCCTCCAGCCGAGGCCTATATAAAGGGTCGCCTCTGCCAGTCGGCGCTCTTCGTCTCCTCCGGGAGAGACGGTCGTCGGGCAACGCGAGGAAGGCGAACGGCTAGGGGTGCCTGCTAGCACCCGTCAGCATGTTCGGGCATGCTGTCCCGTTCGCTCGGAGCGCTGGTAAGTTAGTGTCCCGCTACACCCGAGGGACACTATCGGCTGCAGGCCGATGTTACCGCAGTTACCGCTATTGGCTGCAGACACTACAAGCGTTGGCCGGGCTTCTCCACGCTCGGCAGGAAGTTAAGTTGTAGTGCGTTAAGGACGTTATCGCCAATAAACTGTGAGTCCAAGATGTGTAGTGTTGTGTACAAGTATAGCAGCACGGGTAAGCTTGGGGGAGCGCCAGGGCTGGGGCCCGGTTAAGGCGCAATAGGTCATCATGTGCTGCGTGCATCAAGGGGTTGTTACCGCGGGGCATGGCCCTGTAACCCCCCGTTCCTGGGTTAGGAACCCTGTAAGGCCCCGGGGTGCGGAGGTCATGCGTGCGGGAAACCGCATGATCCCCGGGAAGGACCCGTAGAACGACGTGTGCCTGGGAAAGGCCACGGGGGCCCCGAACCACCTCGATGCGTCGTGTTGGAGGGTTAGGAGGGCAACCGCTCCCGAACCACGACACGTCGAGGAAAATTCGGAAATACGACCCCCCCTCCCTCTGCCGAAGGCCGAAGTCCATGAAACAACCCTCTTTAAAAGCCGAACTATGAAAAAGTTGTTTAATTCTCCACCAAAACTGCTCATAAAAAAGCCCTGCTACCCCATCGTCCACAAAAAAACTCGTTTAAAAAGTATAAAAGTGAAAAAGTCAAAGAATGATCATTAATGACGAGTCCTGTCAAACGAGCAAACGAGAAACGGAGCAAAAAACGTCAAACTAGTCACTAGAAATGGCGTACTATGACAACACCTCTTCTTTGTTTATTTCCTCCACAAGACTTACCAAATTCTAGTACTACACAGATTATGGTTCTCAATTTACACGTCCCCCTTTCGCTCAAAGGAAGCCTTGTAAAAGCCTTCGCCAGCTGTGTGTTGACTGGACTTTGGCGTTGACCGTGGAGCAGCTTATTTACTATTGAAATTTGAACAAATATTCAAATGATTATAACTTTCTTCAAAGTTAACGAATTTTCAATCTGAAAGCTGATTTGGGAGTTTTGTGAAGAGCTTTTTCTAATCAGTACTGAAATTACAGGAAGTTATAAGAAATAACAAATTTAGATCAAATAACGAGGAAAATTCGAGACGAGCACGAGTTTTTACACTTTCCGGAGCAATAACTTGCTTCATTTCCGTCAAATTCAAAAAGTTGATACGTCATACAAAACTAGAAGATTTTCTCTATCAAACGGTCGCTAAAGCAGCTTCATACGTCCAGTACTCAAAAAATGGCCACGTTGAGGATTTTTGCAAAATTAACGAGGAAAATTCGTGATGAGTGCGAGTTTTTACGCTTTCCAAAGCCATAACTCCGTTCAAACTCATGCAATCTGGAAAGTTAATACGTCATCATAAACTAGAAGATTTTCTTTCAAGGCAACTAAAACTGCTAAATACGTTCACTATTTAAAAAATGGCCACGTTGAGGATTTTTGCCCGAGTACCGCCGAAAGGTACTTTTTCGCTACATTAGCACTATCCCAACGACTATAGCTCCTTGCAGGAGCGATTACATACTGAAGTAGGAGCAGATTCAAAATCCTCGTGCTTTTCTCTCTGCAAAAAGTGTAAAATTGTTTAGCGGGTCTCAACTTTAAAGGTTACATGCTTGTGAATTTGACGCTGAAGGCTGCGTTTCTTGTTGAATAGTGTACTCCTCTCTGTAATTTAACATGAACTCTTTCAGAACCCTCTTGATTCTTCCTGAATTAAGATTCGTTATCAAGATAGCCGTAGCTGAAGCGCGCGCAACCAACTGGGCCCACTCTGGGATGCGCCGTGTGCTTCACATCTCGTTGGATTTGAGGACCTACTTGAAAGATAAAATATCCCTAGAAAACGTGCGAATTTCGGATCCTTTGACTTGTGTGGTGATGAAACACTAAAGTCACTAAGAATTGCTAAGCGGACACCTCTAAATCACGAAGATTTTGTGTGGACGGAATCAATTGTTATTGGAAATACTCTGGCCTGGTATCGATTCGATCCTTAATGTTTGTCCTCCGACGATGATCCTACTGTATCAATCGGGCCCGATCTCTCCCCAGCGGGCCAATACGACCCCCCCCTCTGTGACATGTCGAGGATTCCTCAACGCACGCTTGACCCTGCTCACCCTCCGGGTTTCGCTGGCTAGCACTATTCTTGCCTAGCAGCGTAAAAGGAACATAACTCGCAAGTTATGTTGATCCCCCTTATATTGAATCGCATTCGAATTGCTACTACGTCTCTAAATGTGGTGTTCGGTTGACTATTCGTAATTTACAGAGCTTACGTACTACAGTACATAGTTAATGTTTCTTTATAGTGTTGTTTGCCTTTATAGTTGTTTGTTGTCGCTGGTAAAGAATTCGAGGATGTGCGAATCGCATTTGAAGACTGGCCGAAGCTTAAAGCAGGTAGGGAGCTTGCGTCAGTTTCAGGAAAACCAACTCAAAATGTCAATTTATTACGAAAATGCTAATTGTGGGCAAAACTTTCACTCCAGTCAAGGCTTTCCGGACAGTTGTACTACCATGCAACCCCACATTTGGGGCACATTCCCCCCCCCCCAAATCAGTTCGATGGGGTAAATTTATTAATTATAAGCATTTGACAAACAGATAACGTGATGAACCGGTTAACCGGCATCGGCGGAAAACCGCAAGGCTGAAAGCCTAAAAAGCAAATCCTGCAATCAATTGGTGAATTTAGCTCAATGTATCACAGCGTTAGAAGCACTGCATTATATGTGGGTCATCAGGCATTTTTCACATTTTGCAAATTGATCATTTGTATCAACTTGTTTGCGCTTCTGGACTAAGCTACGGCCGACTTACGGATTTTGTGGTAAGCCTGTCACATGACAAGGTAGGGTAATAGCACAAAGCTACATCAGAATGGAGGAACACGTCATGCACCGAAGGTTTGTTTTGATGCTTTTCTCTCAGAAAACATGTTCATTCAACGCTTTGCACCCCCACCTTACTGAAGAGCACTGAGGGAGATGAATTCTACCACTTAAGCCTCGGTCTAGGCGTCGGTCTAACCTTTAACTCTTGCAAACAGAGGGTGCTGGAAAAAGTAAAACTACTTTAATTGCGCCCTGACCTCTATATTTTTAATTGACAGGATGATTATATGTCACTTCAATTATCACTACTTATTTTTCTGTAATCAAACTCACAACTAAACTGTGTTACAGATCCAATCAGGGAACGTGCGAATGGGCTCTCTAAAGCTAACAGCTTGGTGAAAATCCCTTAACACATTGCGTACCGTGTGCGCCACATGGCGGCGCACGACTTTCCTGCCCCGTGTGGCCGCGTGCGCCACATGGTGGCGCACGATTTCTGAATTGGTTTTCTTCACAGTGGCTGTCGATGTTCATTCCATGTTTGCGCAGATGTATGTTATCTCACTAGGAGAACAACATACTTGAGTGGGACATCTCCAGCTTGTGAGCTAATATTTTTATGTGACACTAATAAGAGCCTAGGTTGCTAATTAAATTTGCTTGAATAAAATACATTCTTTCGAGCAAATTCAACAGTCACCGCAATCTAATGTAATCCAACTGAGCTGCAATAATGTGTTTCAGCCAAAAGCTTCGCGTGAATAAAGTGATGTGCCAGCGGAACATCAGCGTAAAGGCTTTCGGGGCGCTTCTTCCACTTAACTTGCCTTTTGGCTGTATACTTTTGAAGTCTCGTGGTTTTAGGCACTCATCTTCATAATAACTTCTACTTGAAATCCTACTCGCGCTTGCGCTACCCTCGTATCAAAATCGATAATAAATGTTCGGCAAATTATGGGTGTAATACACCCACATCCCTTGAAGTCCAGTGGAGGGTGAAATGCACCTACGAATATCCTGTAAACTGAATAAACCTCATTGCTGTTCAATAAACATGCTTAAGCAGGTTGTGGGGTAAAGGAACGAACTTGTTGCCATCGCTTTTTTTCACCAGAACTTGGTCAGAGCAGATTTTTTGATCCCTCACTACCGCTGTTATATAATCATTCGATAGCCACTTGGAATGTTCATGACAATTCAAATAGGCAAAAATTATAACGTAGTCCTAACAAAATTGTGACTTAGCAAGACAATAAAAAAAACAAAGTGGTAAAGGACCCTCTAAAAAGGATTTTGAAAAATATCTGTCCCGTGTGGCCGCATGCGCCACCATGTGGCGCACGGTGCGAATGCATGCGCGGCCAGGCGAGCTCGCCAGCGCAAAAACGGCTTGGTACGCAATGTGTTAATGCGCGTGGGGGCGGAGAGGAGGCACTCCATTGTGTCCTCCCACACTTAAATATAACGTAGGCACGATAGCGCTCACGACACGTAATCGACTCATTCAAGGTATACTTCTGATAAGTGGCGAAGCAGTGTGGAAATAATCCTGGCGCGCTTCCACAATTTGGCCTGCAATGGTACAAGGAAACGGTTCCGACCCAGGACAGTTGAGATCATTGACTTGGCTTTAGGGTGAAAGAGCTCCAGGGTGAATGGCCTGGTGCAGCGGTTTGATAGGACGCTTGAAAGAGGTGTGGAATGTAGGACAACTATGGGTTCTTATCAAACGGCACTTCAAACCAGTCATTCACGTTTTCCTAATCTTTGGTTTGGGGAATTCAAAGAAGAGTTCTCTAGAACTAAGGATAAGATAGCAATAAATGGCTCCACCAAACTGGATTCCACGTATCGTATGAATGAGGATGACTTTGATAACCTGGCTCAAAGCTTGATAGGAGATTTTCAAAAAGCAGTGGATGAATTTTCGGACAAAGCGCACGGCGCTTTGTCCAACAGCCTGTTGGCACGAGCAACAGAAAGCAATGCTGACTGTAATGTACAACAGCGCTGACGAATATGAGGGAGTAATTCGGAAAAAAAGAATGTGTACTAGATTTATGCCCCAAAACATTGTTTCAGAGATGCCATTTGGTCAAATGCCAGTGCTCGAAGTGGACGGAAAGCAGCTGTGTCAATCACATGCCATTCTTCGATACCTTGCTAGAGAATTTGGTTGGTATATTTTCATAGCCGCTCACAGCCAAATGAACGAGAGTAGCTTGATTAAGGTTATGCTGGGAAAAGTGCTTGGGATCAGGCGCAGGTGGACGCCATTGCCGACCAGTACAAGGATTTCTTCACGGAAATTCGACCGTACCTTAGAGCCGTGCTAGGCTTTGAAAAGGGCGATCCGGTAGGTTGAATATGTGTTCTGTTGTTTGCTAAAAGTCAATCGTCCGCCCATGTAGCCAGGAGCTCTTCTCGGACTGTCCTTGCGAGATTTTTCTCGATGTGAAGTGATGCGAAAGTTATTTCCAGGAAGCTCTAGGAAAGGACGTGTTTGTGCCGGCTCACCACAAGTTTTTTGGCTACATGACGAAAATACTCAAGGATAACAAATCTGGTGAGCGCTAAACTCTCTAGTGAAGGAAATTTTTGATTGTTTGTGGTAGATTAAAGTTATCGGTAGGGCTTAACACACAACCCGGACTCCCCCTCTCCCCACATGACATTCTTTGGCTTGTTTGTTACCTTGGTCAAGAGGTAGCAATCGTTTGCTCACCACCGATCTTCTGGCGCTGTGAATCGCAAGAAAAGGTCTCCGTCAACGTATGAAAGCAGGCTTGCTACCTGTCTCTGACTAATTCCTGCTCAAACTTACCAGAAATTTTCCTTAAATTGGTCCAGCCGACTGAATTGTCAGTGAACCGTAGGCGTACCGAGTGCTAACAGGCGAGTGGTACAGGTAACGGGAAGCAAGGCAGACTTTTTCTCACGGCACCATGTTCTCAGTGGGTAACTGCTGGAGAGGCAATCAACACTGTTCAGAAAGCTAGGCACTTGAAGATGCCCCCAAATTTGTGGGTGTGAAATATAGTCGTTTACCGAAATGCATTGCTTCTGCATGTCAGGAAGGTACATTGCATTAAAGAATTCATATGATTACTGAACACTTTCCCTTGAGAAGTGTGATTGATGAACAAAGGCTGTTTGTTCCTGAAAGAGGTGAAGTCTTGACTTATCCTTTGAAACACATCATAAACGAAGCGACTAATGATAAAGAGAGATGCGCATAGTTTTTAATATATGTCGGGACACAAGCAGTTTACTTGCTCCTGCTAGGAAGCTCGAGTGTGGTAATTCTGCGCGCGAAAAGTGTGGCATGGGAGGCAGGGTGGGAGGATGGCCACTTATTCGAAGATGGTCAGTACGTAGCTATCACCAGTGCTGGGAAGGGGCGGCAGCTGAAACTTTCAAAAAGGCGCTCCGGGCCCAACGCGATGCCGCCCAACTATTTTTGTGTTTTGGATTTTGGATAGTAGCTGCTTTGGCCAGTAAGCGGCAACAAATGTAGCAGGTCCCAATTAAACTTTAGTTTGCCCTAGTGCCCCATCAAACGATTTCTAAGCTGTTACCTGTTCATGAGTGGAAACCAAAGAAGGCAAAAAGGGCCCCATTTTGCGTGTAATGGCAGATTTTTCTGCTTTTTTCGCTTTTGGCGTACCATATCGCACCATCGCGTCACATTAAACCTTTCTAACAGGTAGATTCATTGTAATCGCTGCCTTTAAAGGAAGCGATTACGATAAAGTGAGCGCATCGGAAGCATATGCGCCACACGAAGCAGTTACTTGGCTGCCAAGGAAGCGAGGTGTGGCGCTTTCACGACGAAAGGTGCGCTGGTTGCTGAGCAGGACTTCGAAAGCACTCCGCCCCAAAAGCGATCCGCCCACTAGTTTAGTTGGTGATTTGAAGCTGTGTTGCCAGCAGCGGCACAACTGCAGCAACTTGACTGGAGCATGGATTGACATGCACCCATTGAGCTGCGGTAAACTCGTCTAGCGCCAGTAAGGTCACATTTTCTTAACAGATTTCTCTGCTTCTTGCCGTTGGCGTAACATGAAGCACCCCTATATCCTCTGTAAGTCATACCAAACCTATCACAGTCGCTGCCTTCGAAAAGAAGATGTCTGAACATTTGTGTTAGTTTCTTGTGCCGTACGAGGTTTTTATTGTCTGAACATTATTAAATTGGAGCAGGAAGTAGTCATTCTGCATACAAAATGCGTTCAAGGAAAGACTGTTCTGCTTGAACAAAAATCGTTAGTGTCAATCTTAACGATTCGGAGTACTTTTTTATTTATTCGAGTTCTGCTTTTATACGGTTGGACCTTTTTGATTTTCCACCGTTTTCATAAGACGCGGACACAATTTTTAAAAAGGTAGCATACACTCCTCGTAGACGATCCTTGAAGTTTCAAGAATATGGGGTTATGAACAAACTTTTGCCTCAGGCGGGTTTGAACAAGATCGTCGAAGTGTTTTGGTGGTAAACCTTGGAAAGCAATTCTCAGAATTGAGAATAGTGGCATCGTTATCTACGGGATACATTCAGGATATCTCGTCGGGGATTCACTGACGTGGGCTGATCTGCTGCTGGCAGAAACTGCAACGAATGCTCAGAAATTCCCAAACATCTACGACGGATTTCCGGAGGTAATGTTTGAGAGATTGTTCTTGCAAACGACGAACCCAGTTTTCCCCGAGATTCTACCGTTATTCAGGTAAAAGCGCACTCTGAGAAGATCCGTTCCATTCCTGAACTAAAAAAGTGGATCGAAACTCGTCCTGAAACCATTTTCTGAGTGGCTGCTGAGAAGAGAAGGTTATGTGTTCACTTCGAAACTGCTTTCAAAATAGCACAATTTGAAAGGTGACATATCGGTGAAGTGTTTGTTTCGTGTCATACACACGAAAGTGATTTTCATAGCAACTATTATGCTTGATTTTTTCCTTGTTATGAATAAAATATGCTCCTTTCGGTTTTTTGAAAATATTTCTAGATCAGCGCAAATTCCGAAAGCCTTTCGTTCTGAAGAAAACGGCTTGGCTATCACATGCACAATGCGGCACCGATATGGAGACACAGAGAAGAAATTTCGAGTGTGGCCTCGCTAACCTCACTGAACTTTCGCCTCCCACCAACTTTCACATCCCCTCCTTCGTTGCCCTCGGAATTTTTTTTATTCTCTGAGCCGTCATGGCCGACTCAAATGATTTCGTGGCAAGCTCCGCCCATTCGAGGGCACTGTCCGCCTGGGCATGGTCTTGCCCCTTAGTTTATTTATGCTTAGTGCACCTTAAATTGTTTATTTTCACCATTTTTTGTGCTTGAGATGGTCATGTAGCCCTGGTATGAACTCCCAATCATCATCGCCCATCTACAGAATGCTCCACCGCTCACAAATAGGCCTTGTTGATGAAGCAATTTTGGAGCGTATCGGCCCATTCTTCCCACAGTTTATTTTTTCTTCAGGTTGTAGGAGTTACGAAATGCGTTTACTACAATGCAGCTTCTGTCAACTGGTCATGATCATATGACACCTTCGAATCGATTCTGCAACTTCGAGTGAGGTCGGATGCATGGCCTATACTCAGACAAAATTCGATGATGACGATTGCCCCTTTTCCTATTGCTTATGTTGGGAGGATGTTTTCTAGACCCATTTCAAGCGTTGCCAACAATTACACTTGCAATGGTGAAGGAGGGAGCGGATTTTCAGGTGGCCGGATCCGTCCTCGATACATACTCGACGCAGATATCTTCTCAACTAGGAATGTAGAAGAAAGCTAAGAAGACCATCAGAAAGCGCAAACCTTCCGCTTTCCAAAACTATCTTCCTTTTTCAGGATCTTACGAATTAAGAGAGATATTGCTCTTGAAGTGGCAAAAACTCGCATGAAAATTTCAGCGTCCTCGACGTTTACTCGACGAAATTTGAGAGACCCTATCTTTCTGCATGGAAGGCTTTCAGAGCAATTTCAATACTTCTTGGAAACGCGAAATCCAGCTCTATCTAACCCTACCTCAAACTGCTTCAAAGGTTATGAAATGGAGGAATGCAACCTTTTCATCGAGGGTGTAGATTTCGACGGTTTTTTTTCGGGATTTCAGCAAATCTGACCCAGTGACAATCGCGCCGCAGCTGCCGTTGAATCGGCCTTTGATACACTCGGCTGTTTTGATATACTCAAGCAAGAATCAAGATTGAATCGCAACCCCGTGTCTTCAGGATTTCTGTGCATTTCTGAACGAACCTGACTTTGAGGTCACACAAAGTTAATGCCTCTTTCCTCGAGTCGATATTTCAGTAAATACACAAAAGTGTGCAGCGATGAAAGACAGTGCATAGATGACAAGATGAGGCGTCCTAACATTATTTTGCAGAATTTTTTTTGATTTGTTTTGCAGGATTTATTTTATTAATTAATTGAATTAATTTGCTCTGTTAGGGGGTCGTGCCAGGATCTCGATTTCGGGGGGGGGGGTCGTACCTCTGCGACCACGTACTCGACACGATTTTCACCCTGCTGATGAGCACCAAGGGAGGACACACTATTTGTCTAGTTTCCGTCTAAGGGCACGTGCGAAACGGAAACTAGACTACTCTTTGTTCTACCCCACATAATACATAACAATAGAAATTTATTTTAATCATCAAAATTGCAAACTTCATTGAATTGATTAAAGTAATTGCATATATTAGCACTTGTCTCGCTTTTGCGAAGGGTATCATCTGAAAGAACCATTGTACACTAAGTGGTTTTCATTGGAGGCTTGCGTGAGGTCCGCGACAGTGCACGAAAACGTGGGTTGCCGTGGACTGATGGAAGAAGTGGATTAAATCTTATGTCTTAGGCAACTCTGAGAAATCCTCTCAAGAACTGGTGCAAAGGTGATGCGTGCGTATTCGTGAGCAATACTACGCACAATACTTAATTACGAAAAGTGGTGTGGGACTCTGAGTAATATCAGAGGTTGTACATGTAACACAACTGGAATGTTGTCCTGTTCCCTACAGGTGTTGTTTGTATGAATGCAGAGAAGTCGACTGAAAGGCAGAATAAGAACCGGGACATGCGAAGACATGAGAAAATCAATGGGTAGTGCAGTTCTAAGAAAAAAGGGCAATTTAAAAAGTCTTACATTTCAAGATGTACCGGTTCTATGCATACCGTTTCGTGTCCTAGGCTTACTGAATTCTGGGGATGGACAAATATTGTGAGCTACCGGCATTTGTAAGGGCAGCCATAATGAGCGCCCCACCCTCCCAGCAATTCAAAGTACGTAGGATTCGAGATGGATTATAACGTACCTGAAAGGCCAATCGTTGTGAGATCTGCTGTTTTACCATTGAGAGGTGAGTGAAAGCACTTCGAATTTGAGTACGACGACGCGGGGTGAAGGTATGAGAGCTCTTAATGGCTCTGACGCGTGCGAAGTCTCAGGCACGGTAGCTGTGAATTCGGTGCTCGATTTAATAAAAATTATATAAAAAATATGAAAATATAAAAATAACCAAAAATGAAAGTCTACTTTTCTCGATAGAAACCTTCGAAGTTGAAATGAAATGCATGGTTCAGCTATGACGACCTATGCACTTAGCACTTACCCTAACATGGACTGGATAGAGCATGTACGATTGGAGGTTTGAAGTGCACCTTACACTTGCGCTGCCGCTACTTTTTTTGGAACTTCACAGGTTTTTATGATCATGCGTTCCTCTTTCCACTGAGCCGGCCTCAACGAATTGATGTGTATAGTGCAAATCTTTGTATAGCATGAAGGAATGGCTCAAAAAAGGCACTAAAGGCTCTATATGCAAGGTTTAACTCGCACAGGCTGCCGTGTTGATGAACGCCTTTTTACAAAATATTACTGAAACGTCCCTCTATATGAGATGCAAGTCCTTATTTACTGCCCTAGTTGTCTTCAGACGATGAATTCATGTGGAATCGCCGTAGAGCTCAAGGAGGTCTCAATTGCTCCAGTGTGGAGTAGCCACATGATTGCAAGCTGATGAGAATCTTCTCGGAGACTTATTGAGCAAGACCCCTTACGACCAGCATTCCAATAACGCAATGATCCTGGGTTCGTCGAGGAGACAGCTTTGAACTCGAGCTGTGCGCGGAGTTTCCTTGGCAAATTTATCTGATTTCCTCGGTGTAGAAGGCTACCATGACGTCTGCTCATAGACTGAAGTGCACTCTGTAATACTCGTCTGAAAGCTTTTGGTTTGAATTTAGCAATGAAAAGTGTGACTAGTGGTTTTGAGTGTAGACTGCAGCTATTCTTGGGCTACCCCTGCGTAACATTAGATTTAGCTGAAATATTCGAAATGATGTTGTCACAAAAGAATACTTACGAGGTCATTAACGTACTAGAGAATGTCCTTCCGACAACAGATCCGATTTACAGCATTTTTGATTCGCATATCGATGTACCGCCGTAAGAACTAACTAGCGTCAAATCCGTTCCAAAGAACGTGGTGAAAATCACGCTTCGCAGCCTCTGACATTTCTCGCTCTTGAATATGAGAGACTTGGTATGGTACGCAGCCTCTAACGAGATCCGCGTCGTGTAAAAGTCTAGCGAGCTGATCCTAAGTGTGTTTAACTAGTCGTGACGAACATCAATCTCATGTAATAATCGAGATCGAAGACCATTGATAGGTCTTCACCTGCTCTATTCACATTTCTGGATGGTGCTGTCTGGATTTGGAAACTCGAAAACAGGTTTCCTTCCCATAGAAGTGCACACAAGGCCTATAAAGACCTATATCGTAATTCAGTTGCACTTACTCACCTCCGTTCATTTCCTAACCATTTTGCATATTTCCAGCCGCCATAGTACTGACGGACGCACGCAACTTGGGCTCCATATCCCTTAACAGGTTATCTAATGTCTTGTTCTACCCGTGGTTCAATCCAATGTCTTGTTCTATCCGTGGTTAAAAAAGAGTACTGCATGGAGGCAACAGTTTTCACCCCCAGTGTAACTTGCAGAGCCCACCGCTTCCACTCTTCAACTTATACCCCTTAGGATGGATGAAAGTAATGTTGTATGTTCTTCTAAAAATGTTAAAGTGGAGTGTCTCACTGTCAGGTCTATGGAGAACTTCGGTATGGAGGAATAGATCAGCGAGTTCGTCAGCCAGGATCGCTTGATGTGCTCTTCTTCTTAACTGACAACGTTTTCTTTTCTTGTAACGTTAGCGTCGTGCATTTGCGTGTGATGATTTTCGGTGAGATTCCAGGTGAGTTCATTTTGGTTGCCCTCCATCGCCGATAATTTTTGGTAGTCATTCACTCTAAACCAGCTGTTAAGAAAGACCATCATATGAATGTAACAGAGAATGAACGTTGTTGACGGTGGGAGGTAAGCAGAGTGGAAGACGCAACCTCGTAACATCGTGAGCAAAACACCCCCACTCTGAACGAATACCTATGCGCACATGTATTTTAAATATTGGTAGGCGACACCGCTGGATGCTCCCTGAAGATGAAGCCGAACATCGTTTGGTGTGTTGTAGATACTTTGGCGCATGCCGACATTGTCCAACAATTTACTGAGTTCAAACCTGAGGACGAGCAGTGGTGGAGGGCTCGATCCAGCGAATTTTTGACGACCCAGAGGTGTACAGTGAGTAAAAATTAGCTAGCGAAGAATTACTTCAAATCGATGTTGTCATAGATGTGATTAGAGCCGTGGTGGCACACTGGTCTAGATAAAGGGTCCGACTGTTGACGGCTATCAGTACGTGAGGAGAAAAGGAACAACATGCATAAACGTCCGCATCATTGC